ATCTGTGTTAAATTTAATACTGTAATCAGAAATTAATTAATGTAGAATTAATTGGCATTACATCTGTACAAAAAGCAGACGTTGTGGGTTTGAGTTCCACTCTAGACAGAATACTTTAGAAGAAAAGACCAAATTTAAATTATTTCTAATCATTGTACTTAATACAAGATAGCAGCTTAACCATCTATATTTAGTCTAAATAACATATCTTTTATTTGTTTTATAAGTGCAATGTAGTGTAATAACGATCACTTGAAAATATGGAAGAAAAAACATATCTTTTAGTTATATCAGTGGTATCATTTGCTTATCACTATATGCTGGGCTTGGTTTATATGTAATTTAAATTTGTTATTTTGTATTTAGGCTATTAGAATCTGATTGTATAAAGCTGCTTCAAGCATCATTGAAAAGATGCTGTTTTTAGTTTTATTATTAATAAATTAAATTAATAATTTTTAGAGATTTTGGAGTATATCAACTTTCAAAAGTTGGACATTTTAATCTACTCACAAAAACATTTTATTCCAACCTTTGTCCAAATTTACATGAAAAATTAAATTTCTAATTGGAATAAAAAGGTTTTTTGGGTGAGTAAATTTAGATTATAATTTAATGTTTCTCTCTGAAGTGTTACAAACTAACAGCATTAAGACTGTAAAGAGTATATTAATTCATTCATATACTCTTTTCATTTAAATATATTTTAAATATCTATTTATCTATTTTTTGATGTTAAGTAATAAATAATAATATTACAAATTGAAATTATACATTAAAATTAATCATTTCAATTGAAAGCTCTATAAATATAAAAAAATTAGAAAAAATTCTCTCTGTAAAAAACAAAAATTATTATTTTAAATTTAAAATATAAAAGAATGTTTAACCTATTTTAATGTCAGCCAGAAGTAAGATTTTTAAATTTATTTTTAAAACATTTAGAAAATTAATATGTATATCTGTTGTATGAAGCAAAGGAGTTATTTAGTTAAATTTTAGGAAGTCTAACAAAAGTTAAAAATAATAAACAAAATTAGGTCAGTGGCAAATTAACATGTCTAGAAAGCTGAAGCATTGATTTCTGAAATCTTAATCACTTGAATATTCTATTTAATATTTATAAATGGAATTTAATATAAAGAATTCTCTCTGTTTGAAGTTTCCTGAACTTGAGGGTCTTCAAGCAAACCTATATTTTTGGCTTATAGAATTACAGTAGAGCGTCGATTATCCGAAAGTCAATAATCCGAAACGTCAATTATCCAAAAGAATTCCAGTCGGCAAATTTAAATTTTCGCTAGTGCTGTGGCGCTGCAATCTTTGGCTATGTCTTGGGCTACTCAAATATTTTACGTTTTGATACTAAATTAACTTCTGAAGTATAATTTTTTATTGTTTTTATATTTTTCAATATATTTATTTTGTTCATACAAAATAAAAGAATTTTTAACGATACAATAGTCTTCATTAGGCTTAACATCGACGAAAATTCAACGCAAAGCGACATGCAACGGAGAAAAATGTCAAGATGGGATAAATTAATATATTTTTTCGTACATGATTGGTTATCCGAAACATCGATCTTCCGAACAACTCCAGTCCCCAATTGATTCGGATAATCGATGCTCTACTGTATCCACAACTGGATTGGGTGCAAGTCAGGGTGCAATTTGACATTCTTTCTCTTCCTTTTATCTCAAGTATACTATATAACATGCATGCCAACCTTAGATTATAGATGAGATTGATTTGATAGCTAGGAAAAGCTGATTTTGGAATATGAAAGCTAAGAAAAGAATATGTAGAAAGATTGTCAACAAAACTTGTGGCACTTAAGTATTTATTCAATTTTTGCTATCTTTAGCACAATAATATGTTTAGTGGAAAAAGCCATTAGTATAATAGACAAATTACTAGTAGTAAAAAAGGAGGATACAAAGTAATAGTACATACTATACTATACAGTCGACCCCCCTATAATTACGGTCCCTATAGTTACGATTCCTATAAAACTAAGAAAAAATTGCTACCGGTATCTGTAAAAAATAGTAAAAGTTCCCTATAAACACCTCAAACGTCATCGGGAAGCCGAACTACTTTCCCGCCGTCCGTAGCGCCACGCTACGGAGAGATTTCTATCGTCTGGACAGTATTATATAAATTATATATAAATTAGGTACTGTACATATAATTATATATTAATTATATATAAATTAGGTACTGTATATATAATTATATATTAACTTATTGTAACTTTGTTATAATTAAATATATAATTTCCGCCGTCTAGCGTGGCGCCACGCTACGGAGATTTTTACGCTATCTATCGTCTGTCAGTATGTAAATTAGGTACCGTAAGTCTAATACAGTACTGTAATTTTTTACATTTCTTGTGAAAGAAACATTTCTTATTCAACGGCGATTAAAATTATTTATATTAATGATGTCTCCGAAGTTCTACGAAGTTTTCACAGAAAAATAAGTTGTTAGAAATCGGCCGCTCTTTGCTGAGCTGTTCCGCGACGAAAACAATGTTGAGCAATGGCAATGTCGAATGGTGACACTCGGTAAGTAATCCTATAATTTTTTGTTTATAGCGTAGTTTATACGGATTATTCCCAAAAAATATATACGTATTTTGGAAATGTTGAGTCGGATTAGTCTAGAATCGATTAATTTTATGGAAGAAAATCTTTCAAACAGCCGTAGTCCGTAAACTTGACACGTGTCGGGTTGTGATTGGAAGGATTCGTAAGAAAGCGGATTCCTAGAGAATGGAACGTATTTCTATCTTATAGGGGGGTCGACTGTATATAATAAGTATTATATACAAACTCACACACAGTTAAATTCTAACAAGCAGAGCACATAAACAACTAAAAACAAAAACATCAGATTTAGCTCCAAAAACACTGAATTGGAAATCAGTTTTTTGAGTTTTTATTCTCTTTCCACACAGTGAACACAAAAATGACCTTTAAAACAAGCATGCATATTAAGGTTCAGCCAGACCCACAATGAGGTGGCCACATGGTACAGGTCCAAAATATCTGGAATATATCACTCACCAAAAATTCCTGGAGTGTTACTGACCTGTCCAAATTTGTTCCTAGGTCCCCAGAGCAGTAGGCTAACACCTTAACTACTTAGCCATCCAGCTGTCAAAAACACTGGATATTCTATTGTCAACATAACTAAGACATTGAGAAGACTTCAGTGCTTCCAGATTTTCAGATTGTTTGCTTTGGTATGAGAGAGCCTATCTTTTCTATCTAGATTTGAGATAAAATTTCATATATAGTAAAATAAAAAAGATTAAATTTTTCAAAGTTTAAAAATCAGAAATTTAAAGCTTTCCATTCTTTGAAATTCTTGTTTGCAGTGTTGTCAGGTCGAGCAATTATTCCCTCAGCAAAGGGCATTTTCTCAGAAAAAAAAAAACAAAAACAGGAATTTTCAGAATTTTTAATCCCCAAGAAGGAAATGCAGAACTTAATTTTGGCTAAATTAATAATGCTATTATACTATAAGTATGTAATTTTACTCAACATTGCAACAAATGCAATATGTTTTTAAAATTAAAAACTTCTTATGGATATGAATTTTTGTTCTTTCCAACTAGGAAAATAAATCAACAATACTGTTAGTTCAATGTTGAAAGTACAATTTTTTATTGGATTATTTCTAACTGACATTATCTGTAAAATGTCAGCCTTTGTTAACTGTTGCAATAATGTAATGAAACCAAATGATTGCAGGATTTTTATTTACCTACATTACTGCTATTATTAATAATTAAATACTTGAGTAATTTGACACCATCTCTAGTACCAAGTAATAATGGTAAAGTAGCCCAATATAAATCTGGAAATCATTTATTTTCATTATAAAAATATTGAGCTTTGAGATGTTTATATATGTTTTAATATACTTCCATACTTTTATCACTTTGTTAATACATTTCAAATTACACAGTTTTTGATGTAAAAGCTTGATAATATTTTGCACATTAATTTTCCTTACTGACTTAAAAATATCCCTCTCATTAAAAATTTGGAAATGTATGAAGGATTTTTACATATATGAAAGGGATTTTTGTTTTCTACAATCTAGCAACACTGCTCATTTGATTAGCAACACTGAGCTCAAAGAAAATGTTGGAGAGTAAACAATTTCCAAAATCATCATAGAAGCAAACTTGGAGTTCTTAGTATTGGCCATAAATCCATGACAACATACCTTTTTAATGCATTATCTTAAAAGGAAAGAAAGAATTTCTAGTTAGCTGAATGCTTCCAAAGATGGATTCTTATCCTGAAAGATGAAGGAAACTCTGGGGAGGAGACACTAGTTTACATTCAAGTAAATGATTGTGCTGTCTAAACATATTTTTAACTTATAAGCTAAAGTTTCAAAATAATACTGTAAAATGCCTATTTATGTATTCTGCAATTATCAGGAAATTCTTTCAAATGTTTCTTCTTATTTTCCTCCGCTGATATGATGCAGCAGAAACAAATTACTTTCATTTTTACTCCTAATTATTTCACATTCATTTAAAAAGATATTAAATAAATTTTTTTATAATATCCAAAATATTTTTCCTTAATTTGTTATTTATATTAGTGGATTAAAAATTGCAAAACAAACTATTTTATAATGATCAAACAATAAAGCCAAACTATTAGATGAGAATTTGGCGAATTAATTCCATATTGCATAATTTGGACTAAACATAGGCAGTCATGCCACCATCTTATATTAAATTTGACAATCAGTCTATATTAAAAAATAATGTAGGCTATTTAGATAGCAAAAGCATTTTAATTAGCCAAATTCTAAACTTGGCTAATTAAAATCAAAGTAATCTAGCCTAATCATTTGATCATTAGAATAATTCAGGCTTGGTTTGTCATATTAATATTTATAAATTTAAAATTCATCTATGTTATGATTCAAAAATTATAGGTTTAGTTAGTATACATGCCCAAACTTACATCACTCTTAGTTATTTCAGAAGATTCATGCTGTGCAGAATTATCGTGCATATCAGTATTGCATAATTCTTCCTGGTTTTCTTCATTAAGATCAATCAAGGAATATTTGTTTGTTACTGATGTTAATGTGCATTTTGTTCCAATTTCTGTACTACTAAAAGTAACTGATTCTGTTGAGACAGTGGCATTAGGCTCTGAAGAAATGGTGGAAGCAGAGACTAACAATAATTCATTATTTGGTGAATGAGGACCACTGTCTTGAAAATCTATACTACTATCTTGATCTTTCAATACAGAGGAGCTTATTATATCAGGTTGATTAGTAGGTCCATCAATTAATGATCTATCCTGGTTAGTTGTATTAAGGGTTTCAAAATAATCCAAATCAAGTGGAGTTCCTTGGACACCATTATTTGGGCTATTTAATCCATTTGTTACTTTTTCATCAGTAGGTGATGCAATAGGGGAAGATTCTTTAAATTTAAAACTCATGGGATCAAAATCCAAAGAGATAGATGTACTAGGTAAAGAACAACCTTCAGGAGATTCAGGTGATAAACTGTTTACACCAGTTGAGCTATTATCCAAATGCTTTTCACTGTCAGCCATTGTGGACCTGTAAAACAATTTTTCTCTCTATGATTATTTTGTTAAGGTTTAGAACAAAATTCATTCAAAATTTCAATAGAAACATTTATATAAAAAAATTACATCATGTTAATCGAGTCGGATTAGTCTAGAATCGATTAATTTTATGGAAGAAAACCTTTCNAATTTATAATTAAGCATGCAATTTTGAAGTAATTTTTTTAATAATATTTGAAATACCAGTATTTAAGATTGTAATAGTTATTTTTTTAAACATTAAAAAATTATACATTTTAAAAATATTTAATGAAATAAAATTTTATATATATATGTAAATTTTTCATCAAGACTTTAAAAATAAAAAATAAGTAGAAAACATATCCACCATTTTCAATTTTACTGAAAAAAATGGACAAAAGTAAACAGCTTAAATATTATATAATAAATTATTATTATTTATGTAAATTATAATTTATTGTATTTTCAGTACATCAACAATCTCATATTAAAATTTTTAAAAAGTTTTACGAAATTTCATTAGGCTATATTCAAAAATGTAAAATTTTTAAGTTATTTTATTTTGAAGTTTCAAGAATTAGACTATTTCCTCTAAAAAATAAATATGGATAGAAAAAAAGAATTAACACAAATGTGTCTTTAAAACATATACATAAAGAACAATTTTTAAAAATCTTTTATAAATGGAAATACAGTAAAGATTGATTATCCAAATACTGATCAACCGAAACATCGGTTAACCAAAAACATTCCAGTCGGCAAATTCAAATTTCTGCTAGTTGCAACACTCTTCCCCTCCCTGCCAAACTGAACTGTAGGCCTAGTTTAATGTATTACATTATATAAGGTATGTATTTGTAAGATGTGTGATACAAATTATATACAGTACAGTTTTGTGTTTAATATATATTTTTTGTAAATGATCAGTTATCTGAAAAATCAGTTATCCAAACAACCCCAGTCACAAATTGTTTCAGTTAATCTATGCTCTATTGTATATTAAGCACTAGTTCAGTAATTTTAAGGTAGGCTGATCAGTCATTTGGCAGTATAGTACCAGTACTGCTTTCTTACATGTTATATCAAAATTTATTGGTTTTTCCATTATTAAATAATTTTTGTAACTAAAAAAACAAACACACATACCTTTTTACCAGCAATATGAGTTTAATGAACAAGTACTTTTAATCCTCATAGGATCATCTTCAGGTTATATAAAGACTGAACTTTTGCAATAAAAAAATCTGGTCTGGACTGTATTAAAATATTTAAAAATATTCTAATAATTTATGAACCATTTGAAATGTTTTTAAATATTTGTATATACTCCATTTCAAAATTTATTTAGTAGTACTTGTTCATTAAACTCTTATTGCTGATAAAATGTTAGATTTTTATCAAAATATATAGCAAACAAGCAATTATTTACTGTGACATTGTCCCAATGCCAGGCTGCAATTTTTAATCATATTTTAATTTATTTAATTTAAAATATATGCTCTCCATTGCAAATTAGTAGTAGTGTCTTGCCCCTGTAATTCATACTTTTCTATTGGCAATGGAGTTGTGCTGGTCATCTATCTAACTCCTTTATTTCAATTTAAAAAATTTCCCTTTAATGTGACTTCTGGTTTGCATCTGGTTAATCGGGGCTCCTGCCCCTAAGCTTGCCATATCTGATCTTGAATTTCATTTATCTAACACCATTCTCAAGATTAAGGAAAGATGGACAGACAGTGACAATGGGAATTTATAGGTCTACAAATTTTTCAAATTGCAGCCCAACAAATTGGTTACTATCACCATAAAGAAATTTTAAATTATTATTATTTTATTTTACGTATACAGTATTTCACTAATTATTTATATAATGTGATATTTTTATGAACAAAATCACTGTAAATTCATATATACCAGTATACATTACCTATGTATTATATATATACACACACACACACAACAAATCAATAAATGCTCTTTTAAATTTGTCATTACTTTTCATGAAGAGTCTAAGACATTGAAATTACACTAAATAGCAATATGAATTCTTATTATATTGGTCAACTTGGACATAAATTATTAATAGGACTGTTAAACTGATGTTAAGTATTAATGCAAAATTGAGCAAAGTTCTTAAAGAAAGTCTGTTTTCTTTAAGAACTTTTGCTCAATTTTGCATTAATACTTAACACCAGTTTAACAGCCCTATTAATAATTTATGTCCAAATTGACAAATATAATAAGAATTGAAATAAGGACAATAAGGAAATAATAATTAGCAATATGAATTGTTGATAGTTTGTAAAAAAAAAAATCAATTCTGATCAAATAGCATTTCTGTTGAACAACATTTGAATATTAAAAAATATATTCAAGTATTATTTTACTCTTGTAATTTTATATTTTATTGATTCAAGTCACCTCTTAAAACATTTCTCACTTCATTTCTTATTTTATTATTTATTATTTTTACTGTGTATCATTCTCAAGTTGTGCCTGGGAACAAATCTCACAGGCAGACCAGCCTGTGAAACTAGTACAAAACCTCAAACAGTTTGGAGAAATTTTCTGACAATATAACAAGTTGCCAAAATGATGAACATCTATTGTCTTCAGGCCTTTATATAAATGAACATGAAATAACTCCTATGACAGAGAATAGGTACAGGCATAAGTTTTTAACCATTTTCCATTAGATGTTTTACTTCTTGAGAGTAAGTAAATACACTGTTTTTTTTTTCAGTATAGTTACTTTGTAGATTATGTGTGTTTGGTATAGAGATGTCAATGATACAGAATGTTTTGTGCATTTTATCAGTAAAGATAATATCCAGTCTATAAGTCTATTCTGATGGATTGTTTTATCTGTTTACAAACTATTTTGACAGAGCAATTATATGTTAAGTTCTCAAGGGTAGTTTGTGGAATATACTTGTTTCATTAATATTTAAACAAAATTTTTCAATTATACTTCTGTATTAATTATAAGATTTAAAATTTGATAAGATGAAAAAACAATGCAAAATCAAATTAGAGAAATCTGTTGATTAACTGAGATTAAATGTTTTTCAAAACCAAAATGCCTCCTCAGATTAATAAAAGTTTAAAATGGAAATTTCCATTTTAAATTTTTATTAATATTTACTGTAATATATATATATTTATTAGTGCAAAATTTGTACAAACAAAAAATATTGTTCTAAATTTTAATTTAATTTTAGCTTATTTCTGTTTTCAATTTCTCTTTTCTTCTTCAATTTTTAAAAATATATATTTAAAATGTGAATATCAAGAGTTTGTCTTCATTCAAATCCATTTATATCTTATTTTTAAAATGAACATTTAATCTGATGAGACATTTGGGTTTGGAAAAACATCTAATCCTAGTTAATTAACTTCACTAACTTATTTAGTTTTTTTTTTTTAATCTTGTTAATAAAACAGAGTTGATAATTATTAAGAAGTTAGATAAAATTTGATATAGGGTGCAGCTAGATGACAATCATCTTAATAAGCAAGCCAATAATCTGTTTCAAATGAAAAAAAGGACTGTCATTGACTTGCTTATTTAGCTGCTTGCAGCCTAGTTCCCCATAAATAAATTAAATAATTAATAAAAAAAATTAATGTTTTCTTACATACCGTGTATGTAAGAAAACATTAATTTTTATAATTTACTCAAATTATTAGCTACATGATGAAATAAATGTTCAGCTACAAATTATTTTTGTAATTTAATTTCAAAATGTTTTTCATTTTTTTTTTTAATATTTCTTATAAAATTCATGTTTCATGAACTTTGTAAATTTATTTATTTCAGACTAATTCTTTATGTTGAAATTTGAGTAATTGCAAACTGTTTTAACTTTTTATAGAACCTTAAATAAATCTCCAGTACATTATCACCTTTAGAAAAACTAATGTTTTCAATCATTCGTCTGGATCTTCATCAGGTCAACTGTTCTAGAATTCAAATGTTTCAAACGTCACAAATTTTGCAGTTTGTAAAATCAATCATCATTGCAAAAGGATATTTATTTAAGAAGGTTCTATAAGAGATTGAACTATACTTCCACTCCAGTCTGAGCAATTGTGAGTAGAACTTAACAATTTACATTAATAATTATAATATTGTATATTTATTTTTGATCATCAAGAACATATTTTAATACTATTTACTATTTATTAGTCTCTTACAATTGTTTAGGAAAAACTGGCATTGGTCAAAAGCTCAAAATAAATTTTTTGAACAAATTTATATAATAGAGTTTTGTAAAATATTTTTAAACTTTAGAAGGAACAATTATCCAAATCACTGACAAATACATAAATTTATATTTTGAAATTTGTTATACATTTTCTATAAATGTATAGAAAGTATAAATTGTTAATAAAGCTTATACATAAATAAAGTTTCTCAAAACATTACATGTGGCTTAAATATTTAATCAAATGTGTGCAAACAGGATTATTTTCAATTACTGTTGGATTAATATCTGAACTTTTGACAGCTCACTTACTCTCCAATATTTTTAGTTTGACAGAATTCATCAATCTTCAAAAGAATTTGAACCTTAAAAAATCATTTTTTGTTCATATCAATTTATCTGATATACTACAGTACTGTATATGTATTTGTAACTTCTTGTTTTAATGTAGAATATAAATATAAAGAGTAGAAAATCAAATAGATAAGTTAGTATTACTGTATACATCTAAATATACACACATACAAATATCAATATTTATTCCAAATGATAACATTTAAAAATAAACTATATTATTGCTATTTCAAAAATTGAATCAATTAGAATCAGAGCTAGCTTTACAAATGAGGCAATGAGGCAAATTCTTCAAACAGCAAAATAAAGAGATCAAAAATGCTCAAAAAGGAGGAATAAAATATTTTAAATTTTAAAATAGTACAATTAAAATGACATTGCTAGAAGTGCTCTATTGGCAAGAATTTTGAAAGCACGGGTTACAAAAATCAGTTTTGCATCATGACAA